CAAGGGCTGAACTATCCACCCCACCTCTATCACACGGACACCAACCTGCGAAAAGGATATAGCTACCAACCGCGGGTTAAAGCCATTACGAATCATGATTATATGAGCATGACAACCGCTATTTTTCGGTCTTCGAACCTAGGTTTGCCAGCTCTATGAATGGTGGGTAAACTACAAGTGCTGATGTTCTTCTGCACACTGTACATGTACATGTACCCTGTACATTTGCATACAAAGAAGCAGTTGTTGATAAGCTGCGCGGTTTCCATCTAACAATACTAGCCTCGCAGATTCTAGGGGAGAGGGTATTGTTATACATCACTTCCATTCAAAGTACAGTACATGAATCGGATGGAAAATAGCATTGATGTCAATGCCGCGTTTGCACGGAATTCGAGGTCCTATTGACGAGTCTTGAAGAGGGTAGTCGCATCGATGGCGGAAGAGTATATATATTCGACTGTTCCTGGAGCGTTCTGCTGGTGGATATCATCCCCTTCTCTTGAAAGCCTTCTCCTGGACAAGTTTCTCTAGCACTCTGCCATATTATCTTTGTACTCTATATACCATTCCGGTACCGATCCGTTAGCAATGGGTTCACATAGTGATGCCGATAGATATCTCCTAATCAGAACGAAGGCAGAAAGCGAAAGGTTTGTGTTATTTCCCCTGAGTCTCCGGTCATATACTGACAAGATTTCAGGCTAGATACTCAACATGAAGCCTTTAGGGAAAGCATGGGGTTTCTGCTGCACCCTGCAATTCCACAGCATGACCATATGCGTATAGCAGATGTTGGAACAGGGACAGGGCACGATAAATTTTCCCATTATAGCTGCTAGTGTTCAAAGAAGGGAGTTCTGATTTGCATTGCTGGTTTTGTATAGGGTCTGGTTGCGAGACTTAGCAGGGAGGCTCCCGAAAACCTGCAGGTTTGATGGCTTCGACATCTCGATGGACCAAGTGCCAGATAGACCACTATTCCCCACAGACATAAACTATTATACGCAGGATATGCTGGAGCCTTTTCCGGCCGAATTCCGAGGGCAGTATGATGCGGTTCATGTCCGGCTTTTGGTTATGGGCCTGAAGGCAGGGGAATGGGAACTTGTAATTCGCAACTTGATAACATTGCTTCGTGAGATTCAACCCGGCAAATTCCCCAATGTGGGTGGCCTTTGAAGCTGATGAAAATATCCAGGTCCTGGAGGGTACTTGCAATGGACTGATATTGCGGTGCTAGACGGCGTTGTCATACCGGGTGTGCTCGGCTGTAACGTAGATGACGCAAATAGATTCCTGAATCAATTCAAACAAATCGTGAGCAGTCATGGGAAATCTGGAAAGTGAGTACAATGCAGGTCCTCCTGTATTTCCATATCTCGATATTTCACAGGCTGATGTGATGTTTTGTCTTCTTTCTCCCTCGACTTAGGAGCGTGACTGAGCTCTTCCCTCATTTCAAAAAATGCGGCCTCAAGGATTGCAGAAAAGACATTGCCCCACTTGATAAACCCGAATATAAAGATATGTTGAACGCTAATTACGTCAAGGCTATTTCGCATATCTTGCAAGCTTCCCTTCAGCCAAGCCAAGGTTGCCGCGACGCACTCTCGATGGATCAAATTCTCGATTAGGGAAATTGACGCTGAAGAATCTCCAAGAGACCAATTCCTCATTGCGTTTCAGCTTGCATGTTGTGATTGGGAGACGTGAGTAGAAGGGTGATAGATATTGTAGAGGAATCAACATTGTTATCATTATAATTCATGTACTCTTATCTCAGCGGGCTCAGACCCTCTGGCTCGGTTTGAACGGGTTGCAGCATTATTATTAACTAGTTAATCCGGCATGACACTAACCTACTTTTGATACAAGTCATGTGCTCAGAGCAATCCTCGCCAGAGGGTCTGAGAAGAAATGGTTCCATCTTCAATGGAGATTCCTGAGATTTACAAGGATTTTTCAGATTCTTCAACTTTGACTTTCTATTACTATATACTCACATATCTTTGAGATTTGAAAATCACCTTAGCTTATAGCTAAAGAGAAGAAGAATAGAAATATTTCTTTAATATTTCAAAAAAATCTATATTTAAGATAGATGTATACTCTTGAAAATGATCATATTTTTTGATCTCAGAATTTCTAAGAGCTTTTTTTTGTATGAGGAATTGAATCAAAATTCCTGTGTTCAAAAACACACTGATCAACTTTGAGATGATACTTCTATTCTAAGAACTTGAGATATGAATATAAAAATCAGATATATTGTGAGAACATTGTTATTCTAAGGTTTCAAGATAATACAGAAATAATGAATCTATGAAGTTGAGTTGAAATTCTCTTTCATACTCAGAGTACTGAGTAAATTCTTTTCATGTTGCTAATAATCAGAAACTGTTTCTTCTCAGACACTTTATAAGATATTATCACTCACATGACCTGATTTTACTATTTGAGTTAGCTTATTGCTTATTTGAGGTTAGCTCATGACATAATCATCAATTCAGTGTTAAAACAGCAATGAATATCTGGAGAAGTGTCTGAGCTTGCTGAGATAAATCTACTCTGTAATTGTGACAGATATAACGTGACCAATCACTCAACGCCTGCTTACACTCAACGGCCGCCATTTCACTATCACTATAATGAAATATTTTCAACAATATCTCAACAACACAATTAGATTTTAAGCTGATATATTATATGATGAAAATATATATAGAAAATTACATATAAAAATATATAGCTAATTCTGTAGATATTTATTTAACTTAATAACTCACTCAGAATATGAAATCTTGAATAGAGACAGATTCAATGAACAAATAGTTAGACTAGCCGCTGAAACCATGAATTTCACATTTGATTTCATTTGATCTGATCTCATACATTTCTTGACATGAATTCCACTGAGATCAGTCATTAAAAAAATATGCAAAGTGACTATATATCAGATCTTAAAATGAAATCATGACTTGAAAAAAATAAGAAAATAATCTCATTTAATCTCATTTAGTTTTATTCTTGATATAAAGTTACTATTTTTAGACATTTTAAGGTTTTTTTAGACTATTTTTAATTTTTTAAAAAGTAACACTTTTTAATAATATTTAAATAAGATTTAAAGTCATTTAAAGTAATAAAAATAATTTAAATTCAGAAGTGAAAATTATAATCTTATTTAAAAAATATAATAAGAGTAGATAGTAAGTCTTACTAAGATAGTATAAGACTACTATCTAATATTAAAACTATGTGATAAGATTAGTTAAATTAATAATAAAACTATTAAAAAATTCAATTCTGATCTCAGATATAATTATATAATCTAGACTGCCTGTGTGACTGTGTCTGAGACCAGGACCAGATTTTCTGATAGCCTTATTATCCATTTGACTGATCTTATTACACAGTTTTAACATTAGAAAGTAGTCTCATACTGTTTCAGTGAGACTTACTATCTACTCTTGTCACATTTTTCAAATAAGATCATAATTTTCACTTCTTAATTTAAATTATTTTTATTGCTTTAAATAACTTTAAATCTCATTTGAGTGTTATCAAAAAGTGTTACTTTTTAAAAAATTAAAAATAGTCTAAAAAAAACCTTAAAATGTCTAAAAATAGTAACTTTATGCCAAGAATGAAACTAAATGAAATTAAATGAAATCACTTTCTCATTTTTTTCAAGTTATGATTTCATTTTAAGATCTGATATATAGTCACTTTACATGTTTTTTTAATAGCCAGTTTCAGTGGGATTCATGTCAAGAAATGTATGAGATCAGATCAAATGAAATCAAATGTGAAATTCATGATCTCAGCGGCCAGTCTAATATAATCAGTCTATAAATAGTTATTAAATTAGTAAAAATTATAATATTATCAGATTTCTCTGATAGTAAATTTATATACAACTCTGATAGAGTTTTAAAAATATAACTTAATTACTTTTTATAAAATTAAGAGTCTACTTTTCTAATTAAAAAGATAATTTTTAAATTCTTTAATTTTTTTCTTATTTAACTATAATTACTAGACTGACCGTGTGACCGTGTCTGAGATCAGAATCAAACTTTACAGTTATTATATTATCTAAAAGTATTACTTCTGATTATGATTTGTGTTGATTACATTGATTTCAAATCACATTATTTTAAATATTAAAGATTTCAGATTCACTTTTCAAATAAAAATCTAGTTCTGAATAAAGAATATGTTTGAATTCTTAGTCACATTTTCATTCTGATCTCATTATTGAGAATGACACTAAATAAGACTATGAAATTACTTCTCACTTACATAATATCATAATATAGTACTCATTTGTTAAAAATTCAATAGAGAGTGTTATTAAATATCATTACTTTTCTGAATATAGATTATAATTCATATAATTTTAATTATAAAAAAAATATAAAATACAAAAAAAAAACAAAAAACAAAAAACAAAATAAAAACAAGAAAAAATCAGAATGAATAAAAAAAAAAAGAGAAAGAAAAAAAAAGAAAAGAAAAGAAAAAATAAAAAATAAAAATAAAAAAAATCAAGATCACAAAGCTATAGCACTCTTAAAATACTTACTTCTCAGAGTCTTTATAATATTCATCATTAATTATGTATTTCTCACAGTGAGAATAACACAGCTGTAATAAGCTATTATTCTAATATTATCTAATAAATAATCAATATATATCTGTATAAATATGAATATTTAGAAAATATATACTCAAAAAGTGTGATCAGAATGAACTCTGCTGTTACTTGAATAATATCAAGAGTAGAATACTGAAATCAATGATTCTCTTCATTGATTTTATGAATAAGACAGGTGAAGATAATCTTGAGAAATATAAGATTTTCTAACTTTCAATAAAAACAGATCTCACAGAGAGACTCTATTTTCATAATATCAGAAACTGAGTGTTATCAAAAAGTGTTACTTTTATACAATACATATACACTTACTGTGATAATTCATTCTCTGCATACATGACTGAGAGTTGCAGCTTTTCCACATCACACAGCTCTTTCTGAAATACTGACACTGATTTACAACTCATGCAGTCTCTCAGTTCAGTATGTACTGTGTGTATACAGCTCTGCATACTGAGACTGTGTTGATCATTATAATCTGATATGATACTTACTTTTTACAGGTCATGTTTCATTTGAAGAGAGAAAGAGACAAGATGTGACTGAGATTTTATTAAGAAGAAATGAATAATTTGTAATATTAAATATAATTTGATTCTTCTATATTTAAAATTTGATTAGTCTATACTCTTCAATTTAAGAGTTTCTAAGAGTGTTTTAATAGTTTTCATACCAGCTTGAACTTAGTGATGAATTGAAGAAGAAGAGAAAAAAGAGAAGAAAGAAATGAGAATAACTTATCTTTATAATATAAAAACAGAGAATCACTGCAATCATTCTTTCTAGTAATAAAGATCTGTTTTCTGCATGTATCTCTGATATAGATTATATGATAACTGCATACAAAGAATATCAACACTGCATGCATTGAATGAAGATGATATTACTATGCAATACTGTAGCTGTTTCTGTATATCTCTGAAAGCTGTTAATATTTTCTTTATCTCTTTATATTTGATAAGTCAGTAATATATTTCAATGCACTCTCTCTTTCATTATTATTATTATTATTATTATTATCATCATTATCATCATCATCATTATTATTATCATCATTATTATTATTATTATGATTATTATTATCATATTATTTCTGACTATCTTTTCTATCTTCACTTCTCTTCAATACTCACTGAAATCAATCATGTCATCTCTCTTCAAATATTCTGCGGTTCTGTGAACTATCAAGGCGTGTGAGTACTATCACAGATTGAAGACAGAGAAGAAGAAGATGTTTAAGTAAGAGAAGACAGATTATAAGACACATTATAATATCTTGAAGAGACTTTATAAGAAAGTAGAATGATAACAATTTTAAGTAACACTTCTGATAGATTTAGACTGAACTAAGTATAAAAATAATGCAAATGACATCACTTGTGAGAGATTGAAGAAGAAGACAGTGAAGAGTCTTATACAGTAGTAATAAGATCAGAAGAAGTTCTGAGAATGATTTGAGTTCAAGATAAAGAGAGAGAGAGAGAAGAAGAGTATTACTATAAATAAGCAGCAGCAGAAGAAGATTGAGAGAGTGTTGAAGTGAAAGATAAAGAAGTTAAAACTAATAAGTTTTTTATTTATTAAAAGATAATAATTTTTGATAACACTTCTGTTCTCTAATTAATTAGCAGAAGCTGGCAGATAAGAAGAGAATTAAGGTCTTGTTCAGATCTTGAATGCACTTCATGATTCAGAATATTGAGAAGACAGCTCTACTCTCTGAGCATGTTAATCTGCTTATCACTGAGATGGAACCTGAGACAGCAGATCAGGAAATGCGGGATTTTGAGATACAGATTGACCTGGCTGAAGAGAAGCAGCAGAAACTCTTCTCTGAGAAGGCAGTAGAGAGAGATTTTGAGATAATTATCATCTCAGATAAGAAGAAGAAGAAGAAGAAGAATGAGAAGTAAATTATAAAGAATGATAAGAAGAATAAGAAAGAGAAGAAGTAGATTTTTTTCTTTTTATATTAGTTAGTTGTAAGTTTAAGTTTTTAATTATTAATAATTAAAATTGATTTTGAGTTTTCAAAAATTATTGTACAAGTTGTAATTAAGTCAGGAAATATATATATATATATATATATATTTAACTATCATGATTCACAAATCACTATAATGTATAAGTATCAACATTTTTTCAAGATTGATATTCATAATATTAATATATTTTTAATGATATTATCTGATAATGTAATTTGATAATGCTCTCTTTCACAATATTAATATATTTCAAGAAATATGACAGAGATTAATCAAGATTATTTGTTTACTTTTATACATCAATGATATTCAATCTGAGTTAGTACTAAAATTATAACTAAGCTAAGAAACAAGATTATTTTCTCTTATATTAATTCTTCTTACACACATCAGTGATCAGTTATTGAAAATAAATTATTATCTTTTTTAAATTATTATCATATCTTCTGAATTCACTTCTTTCACTTCTTTTACTTCTATTGAAGATTCACAAACTCTTCAAGAAATCACTGTAAATCACAAAGTCTATGTTATTTACAATTCAACACAGAATACTCTCATTCAATTATAATAAATGATCACTTCATTCTTCACATCTGATTCCAGGTCATGAAATTTATGAAAAACTCAATATAAACAATAAGATGAACTATGAAATAATTATTAACAGATTATATTATAGATTACTGAAGAGTTATCTCTCTACTGCAATCACTGCAACTTCATTCAGAAATATTTATCATGAACTGATTATAGCTCTGAAGAAATTTCCTGACATCTGAAGTCATCAGAATGCAGATAATAAAAGAAAAATAATCAGAAAATTACTACTGAGCTGATAAGTTACTCTATCAGATAATAATTTTTAATAACACTAACTTTCTAATTTGAAGAAAATTATGTAAAAATAATCATATATCAGTACTCTGATTTCATAACTCTCATCTGATAACTTCTGTGAACAATTACTTTGTATATGTATATCTCTGAATCTTTCTCTTTAATCAATTGAAAACCCTGAATTCTGAACACTTCTTCAAATGCTTAATTTAAATCTTCATATTCTATATCAATTCTGTCTTTGATTCAACCTTGAGATATACTATAAAGTCAATATACAACATCTAGAATCAGAGTTGAAGAATCATCAAAGAGTGTCTCTCACAGTGAATGCATGAACTAGTACAAATAATCTTATATTTATGAGAGTTACATGTTATTACATTGATGAGAACTGAACTTATTAAGAGATATTAATTGAATTTGAATCATTGATCAGTAGTCATACTGAGGATTATATAACAGAGATATTAATAACTGTGATTAAAAATGACTATTGAGATATTAGTCTCAGTCTTCTTACAATTACAACTGATAATGCTGTGAATAACTATACTATGATAAAGAGCTTAAAGCAAAAATTGACTTTGCATTTCTGAAATGATAAACAAGGTTATATTCTCTGCATTGCTTATGTGATTCAACTTGTGATACAAACACTGATAAAGAATCTTAACATTGAGATAAAGAATAATGAGATGACTGATTCTTGAGATGAGAATGAGATGAAAATGATTACTCAAGTAACTTTTACATTCACTTTGCAAAAGATAATGTTTTTTGATAACACTTTTTAATATTGCTTTTTAATAATGCTTTTTAATAACACTACTGTTAATTTTGAATAGATTGACTAATAATTTAAATATCACAGATTTAAAACATTGCTAATGTGATTTGTATCTTCTCTAAATAATAATAATGATTTCATGATATTCAATAAACAAACAAATCAGTCACATCACTGAATATGATACAGAATGTTAGAATACAGTGAAGTTTAATATATAAGATAACTGTTCAGACTCTTCAATTATATCAGATAATTAATTATTGAGTATAACACTCTGATCAGAAAAAGATTCAGATATTGAAACTTTCTGATATAAAGTAAACTCAGTTGAAATATATGATTGATTTACTATTTCAGTTTTATAAGATAATAAAGACAGTCTCAATCACTCATATATCAATACTGCAGTCAGTCTGATAAGTGTATAACAGTTTATTTACTTATCTTGAGAAGCAGTTGAATCACTCAAAAAGAAATTCAGTCTGAGATGATGCTATAGTGCAGGCTATTATTACTGTAAGGAATAAACTGGTATATTACTACAGCAAAACTGAACAATCTTTTGCAGAGTACTATGCTGTAGCAGCTCTACTAGATCTCTCTTATCAAGTTAATATCTACACTTCTCAAGATTGAACAGAGGAGAAATAAGACTTATATATCAAATTAACTCAAGATTACTACAATGTCAACTATCAGAGATTTGAATAAGCAGATGTTCAAGATGTAAAGACAGTGAAATACAATTCTCTAGTAAGTAATAATCTTTAATAATACTTCATATCTTATAGAACTATAATACTAACTTTGAAACAGAACTTGCATATATTGATTACAACTGAAAATTAAGCAAAACTACATACTTATAAAACTGAATTTGATCACTATCTTCAAGATAATCTGATGAATTTATATGTCAAATCAATTCTAGAGTTATGAAAAATTATTAAGAGTACATATTCAACTATTATACTGATAATATATGATATTCTGATAATTTCATTGACAGAGATGAGAATGAAGTGAAAGTTTAACTCAAGTCAAGATATTTATCACTATCACTGAGAACAATTATAAGAAGAAATAATCAAGAAACTTATAATTATAAAATATAGAATTATCAGACAGTTTAATATCTCTGATCATAGTATATCAGAGAAGTGTAGTTTTTATAAGAAAGTGAAGAATAAACTTACACAAGAATGTATTTAGTTGTTTTATAAGTGTTATCAATAATCATTACTAAATTCTGATTATATAAGCAATTACTGAATGAACTGAATGAGACTGATTTTGACCTTCAGTCTCAGTCTTATTCTGATTTTGAAAGAATAATCATCTTTCACAGTTTATTCTGAGAAATTACTCTTATTTCACTGTTCTTGAATTAAATCTGATCATTTTTCATGCCATTTCTCTCAGAAATGATTCATTTTCAGATTTTTTTGAGACTTGATTCTGGTGAAACTCACGTCAAGAAATGTATGAGATCAGATCAAATGAAACCAAATGTGAAATTCATAGTCCCGCCGGCCAGTCTAATGATTACTGTTATATAACAGCTTATTTTTTCTTCTCTTTTTATTCTTAAGTCTTTCTTATATCTCTAAGTCTCTTTTCAATCTGTTATTGAGTAATTCTTGTAGTTTTATTTATATCTTTTTACTAATTTACTATTTAATGAGCTGTTTTCTATTTTATTTTATTTTTCATAATATCTGTTTTCTTCTATTTTTTAAGAATAATATATTATAACTTGATATTCTTTTTACAAGTCTATTCATTTTATTTAATAGTTTTAAAAGTGATTATTTTCTTATATATAATCTGTATTTTTATTAATGAAAAGAACTGTATTAATAATGAATTTGAAAAATTTAATAAATTTATTATTTTATCATATTTATAATATTTTCTTTTCTGATTAAAAGCTTATTATAATTGTTTATTTTTTATTAAAAAAATCTCTTTATTAGAAACAAGATTTTCTTCTGTATAAATTACTCAGTTAAAATTATTAAATATTTAATATTATTACTACTTAACTTACTTCATTAATTTTCATATATTAATAATAAAAATAGAGATTTTTAATTAATATTATATATCTAAGAGAGTGTAAAACTGTATTACAAGCTTTTTAAAAATTTATTCTGAATTAAATAAATGTAAATCAATAGCAGTAAATGCAGATATAATATTTAAAAATATAACTGTCTTAATAAAGATGATATAATATAGTGATTAATTGTATTATTAAGATCTATCTATTACGCGGCTTTTTATATGTGTAGATGTTTACTAAGTAATCAGTGAATACCTCACTTATGCAGAAGCAGTCAGTCTATAGAAAGAGAATTCAACACCTCTCTTAACTACTACTTTACTAAGTAGATATTTACAACTCATCAGAGTGATTTTATAACTAGAGAAAGAATATTATATATAAAAATAATAGTGTCTTCTATCAAAGATTTCATGAAGAACTAATAAGAGTTGAAGAATAAGAATAAAGAAAACAGTAAAATAAATGAATGAATGATCTACTGTAGAGATAGCAGGCTGATAAGACTCTGTATTTATCAGAACATCTTCAAAGCTTTTCTGACTGTAGATATTTAAATTTCTATGTTAATTAGAGCATCTTCATTAACTTCAGCTATTAGAGCTTTTATTAGAGTATTTACAGCCATGCTGATAATATCTATTTATATGATTTTAATAATGTCTGCAGCTGCAGTATTATGAACATAATAATGTTTAATATCAATGTGATATACATTGCAGGTGATCTTTTCACTGTTCACTATAATGATTACTTCATTATTGTTAATGTATAGAGAAATCATAAAATTGAGAAATAAAAATTCAAGCTTCATAAGTAGTCTGTGCAGTCAGATTACAGTTTTGAGACTCTCAGAGATAGATATGTACTCTGCTTCTATGATACTCAGTATTATAATTATTTACTTAGTGAATTTTCGCATAATTAGTCTGTCAGTGAGATGAATGAGAAGATTTGATGTAGATTTACAGTCACTGATATCATTCACTTAATCAGAATGTGTAAAGACTTCAAAGTTAAGCTCTTCTGCTTCAGTGATATAATAAATATAGTGATCAGTTGTGCTGTAAATGTAGTGAAAGAGTCATGTAACTGCAGCTCAGCATGCTTGTATAGACTTGCTTAATTAACAGATGAGCTTGACAGTTATAAAAGATATATCAGAATAACTCTATATAATAAGATATTAAAGTGATTTAATAACTTACTGATATTTAAACTCATCAAAAG